CTTTGGAAGGACTATAAATGATGTTGTATTCTTTTATCAGAATACACATAATGTCTGCTTTTTGCTCTTTTTTGATCTTAGCCATTCTTGATACTTAATGCCTAGATCCGTCAATTCATTGGGGAATGTAAAATGATGGTATACTAACTCTGTCATTTTCCTTTATTAGCTGGAATAATATTATAAGGTGATACACTCCCTCATCTACTTTTGATTACCCAATGGCACAGTTCATCTAGGAAAGGAGATTAAATGTGTAAGTCTTTTATTTATCCAGTTTCCTTTTTTTTTTTTTTTGGCAGCTGGCCAGTACACGAATCCAGTCCCTTGACCTTGGTGTTATAGCACCACACTCCAATATTTATCTAGTTTTCAAGATAATGAATTGGTTATCTCTTGTTAGAAGTTGAACTTTTGAAAAAATATTATTATGAACTCATGGATTTAAACACATATGATGGGGGCGGCCCCGTGGTGCACTCGGGAGAGCGCGGTGCTTGGGAGTGCAGTGGCGCTCCCGCTGCGGGTTCAGATCCTATATAGGGATGGCGGGTGCGCTTGCGGTGCGGGTGACACCAAGCCAAGGGTTGCGATCCCCTTACCGGTCAAAAAAGAGACAAAAAAAAAAAAAAAAAAAAAAAAAAAAGTGCACTCGGGAGAGCGCGGTGCTTGGGAGTGCAGTGGCGCTCCCGCTGCGGGTTCAGATCCTATATAGGGATGGCGGGTGCGCTTGCGGTGCGGGTGACACCAAGCCAAGGGTTGCGATCCCCTTACCGGTCAAAAAAGAAGACAAAAAAAAAAAAAAAAACCACAAAAAAACCCCACATATGATGGGTTTCCATTTATTGCAATTCTCATTAAAATTAACATTGTCCTGCCTTTGGCCATTGGGGGACTTATCTAGTTAGCCCCTAAGTCATTTTGACATGACCCTAAGGAGTATTTGTAAACATCTTTGGCTTCTGGTATGTCAAGCTATTCCCAGGCTCATCTTGTACGTTTTCTGCACTAAGTCTAGCCAATTCTCCTGGAAGCACTTGTTTCTTTTAATGGAAAATGGTAATTCAAGACCACAGTCCAGGCACTGGGGATGATCACTGCAACTGGATTGATTATTGTTTCTAGGGTTTTGCAGTGGACAGATCTAAGAAATACCTCATGAATTTAAACTGATATTTCCAGTCCAAATTCAGGATTACTGAGTTTTTACAAAATTAATCTTTTCATTATCACATCTATATTTCCTTTCTTCTACACCAAAAATCTTGCTTCTCTAGTTCACAGGGGTTGATAGAATTATAATATCCCATAATTACTCATTTGCTTTAGAAGGAGATTTGGTTTGTTAGCTTTTCTAACTTCACAGAGTTCTCTCCTTTATTGTTATCTTGTATTTATTCCCCTGGCTTCGTCCATACTGGGTCACCCCAGTTAATTGTGTGCTTCTGCCCAAGGCCAAAATTTCTGTCTAGCACCCCTCTCCACACGGTTATAGCTCCTGATTCTGGTTAACTGCACCTTCCACTTTTAGACCTAGAGTAGGTAAAGACCCTCTGCTTTTGTGACCATCCACGGCATTACAGCATCCTTTTGTTTTCCCTGGCCCTGCTCACACCTGTATAAATGATCCCTTTACTAAACTCCTCAATTGCCCAGTTTGAGTTGCCATCTTTTACCTGATCAATACAGGGATAATGCACTTTAAAATATCTTTATTATTGACATTGGTACCAAGTAAATAATATAATAGCTGTAGAGCTCTTGAGAAAAAATACTGATCAAGAATTTAGAGAAAGTTGGAATGTTCATATGTTATATCTAATAGTTACTTGGAAATGGGAGATCCCTTTAACCTGACTTTTCTGTAATTCCACAGAAGCCTAAAGAAGATTATACAGTTCAAATATTTGTATTTTTATGAGGAAATAGATGTGTCACAATGTACTTGGCAAACAAAGGGGGAAAGTGAAATACGTCTGATGTACTGTATAAATTATATCATTTGCTGTCATGGAGACTTGTGTTAAAATCACATGGAACTAATAGAAGATCACATCCATGAGTTGTGCAGAATTTTTTGATGGAAGCTATGCTTACAATGTTTGTTTTCTGCAGATTTCATATTATACTTTCTTTATGGCCACAGATAGTTTTTCCTCTCTGAAGTCTTTTATGATGTAGTGAGATATATTTATTTTCCTTTGGAAAGAAAATAAGACAGTTAAATTGATTTCTCTGGGAAAAAGCAATCAGCAGATGTAAGCTGCTTTTAGACTCATTACATATTTTTCAAATATTTATAGGTCTTTTGGATCCAATTTTCCCTCTACACTGTCTTATGACATTTTTCATGCATATAGGAAATTGGAAGATTTGCTGCACTCAATGTTCATATACTCACCTATGTGCATGAATAGATATGATGAAGCAAATAGATAAAATGTTAACATTGGGTCATATTTTAACAAGAAGATTTTCTCAGGTGAAAGTATTCCAAATTGTCTGTTTACTGAAAGAAGAAAGGAAGTTTCCCTTCCATAGTAGGTTTTCTGATGTGAAGCTGTCCTCTCATTCTTGGCCACTATGTATTATTATTTCTTTAAGGTACAGCTGGGTTCAGTTTGCTAGTGTTTTATACTTAAGATTATCACATCTATTTTTATAAATGGAATTGACCTCTAGTTTTCTTTGTCTGTAGTGTTCTTGCTTGTTTTTGGTGTCCTTGATGACTGAGTTAGGAAGCATTTTTTAGGAAGCACTTAGTATTTATCACAGGAACTGCCTGTTTCTCAAAGTTTTGCTAGAACTGGCCAATAAAATTATATGAAGCCAATGCCTTTTGGAGAGCAGATCTTTGACTGCCTTTTCTTTCTTTTTTTTTTTTTTGGTAATTTGTTTATTTTTTTCTTTTCCTTTTTTTTTTCTTTTGACTGGATTTTAGGTGATTTATATTCTGGTAGGAAATAACCTGTTTCTGTTGGTCTTTTCCCTCTATCCTCTCCTTCTCTGTTTCTGCCCCCCTCTCTTGCTTTATCAGGTTATCTCCTTTGCTTGGATTGCTTCTTCTCAGATAGATGGACAGGCTTTATCGTGTGCTTCTAAATAGTAGCAATCTTCATTTCTTTGGCTCGTCCCTGACAGCATCCTATCCTTTCTGTGCTGAGTTAGATTTCTCCTGGTCGGTATCCCTGCCTGTTTTCTGATGCTATGGCAAATGTAGGGACCATGTCCTTCTTTTTTGTGTTCTAGGCATAGAACATTGCACAGTGCTAGGCATAGATCCTAGCACATTGAAGTCCCAATCCATAGTGAGGGAGAATTGGTTTAAGAGCTTGGGACCTTGTAGTAGCATGTTTTACTGTTTATCAGGTATCCTGGCATCTGGCATCCCCCTGTGTGTCCTCTCCTTGTAGGTATATATTTTATCCTGTTGAACTCAGGAGTGAACACATGACTTGATTCGCCAGTGTGGCAGAAGTGTTTTTTTGGGTAGGTTTCCCCCCCCCCCCGTTTTAGACAAGTTTATTAGGAGCCAAACATGAGGATTGAGTTGGGAAATATAGACCAACAGGTTTGGGAAGTGCTTCCTCTGGGCGGAATTTTTAAGACCCTATGTATGGTTCTCCATCTTTCATCTCCCTCTACTGCTTCAACTGGCAATTTTCCAGATAGAGGCTGCACTGTTCGCCTTGGCCCATGAGCACAGTTATAGTTGACAGATGATGGTCATGGAGCCTGAGTGAGAAATAGCCTTCCTTACGTTAAGCCACTGAAATTTTGGGGGTTGTTTGTTACTACAGAACAACTCAGCCCATCCTGACTGATACAGACCCCTTTCTTCACTCTGAGGGTCCTGTCTTCTTCAGGGTGAATTTTGAACCTGATCTGCATACTTTTTGCTTTTTCATTTAGTCATTTGTTCAGTGGCCATTATTTTAGGCAATGGTGAACAAAAAGGGCTTTTGAATGAGAATCTCTTAGATTCTAGGCTTGGTTCTGACATTTGGTAGCTGTGTAATCTTAAGGACAAATAAACCAACCTCTTGGTGCCTCAGTTTCCTCCCATGTGAGATGGGAAGAACAGCAGTATCTTCTTGGCTGTCTGTGGAGCAGAGACTGACCCCAGACATGGAGTTTAAATCTGAGGTACAGGATGCAGAAAGTTGTACATTTTGAAAGGTAAGAGAGAGTGGCAGGGGACAGACTTGAGGGCCTACAGGCTGGAAAGGAATGAAGGTAGAAAACCCAGTGTAGGGCCGGCCCAGTGGCGCACTGGAGAGTGCGCCGCTTGGGAGCGCGGTGGCGCTCCCGCCGAGGGTTCGGATCCCATGTGGAGACCGGTTCCCGCTCACTGGTTGAGCGCGGTGCGGGCGCAACACCGAGGGTTGCAATCCCATTACCAGTCAGTAAAAAAAGACAAAAAGGAAAAAAAAAGAAAACCCAGTGTAGGCCTAGGACTAGGGCCTGGAGCTCACAGACCCTTGGAGCCCATTCACAAACTCTTCACATGCAGGTCTACGAGCTAGGTAACAGGAAAAAGGTTCTTGGGCCTTAGTTGAAGGAATAATAAGCTTTATTCAGCACACACACATCTAAGAACTAGGCAGTCCAAAGAGAAACTGAGCAGCGGCCAGCAAAGTAAACATGCTCTATTTTTAGACACGAGCTCTCTGCCAACCAGCAGTTCAAAGTGGCTGCTTCACATACTGAAAAACACACAAGAATAGCAACAAGCCAAGAAGATACATGGGTGCATGCACACTAACTCCACTTCCACACAGCTTGTTTACAAAGAATGTTACACCACCCCCAGCTGGACCTGAGGTTGGTAGGCCTTACTAAACTACTCTATTTTCCTCACACCCAGGGAACCCCTTTAGATGGAGACCTGTTTGTTGAATGAGGAGGGTATGGGAAGACAGGATTTCTGCTGAAGAGGCATATGCTTAGGGCACACAGTAAAGGCCCCAGCAATGTCTAATTGCTTCTCCATCCCACAGGTCCTGGCTGCATGGAAACAACATGGACTCTTACAATTAAGATTGCAAAAAGTCACCCCAGACAGCAGAAATCCATCCTGAGGTGAAATAACATCTGCTTGGTACCCTGGCAGAATTTCAAGGCAGACATTGGGCTGACTCTGGGGTCATGATGTTGCCTGATCTTTCTGCTCTGGGAGAGCAAGACTGGGAGAAGACTTTACATTCCAAGAATGGGGAAGATATGGAGACCATGAAGAAACTGACTCAAAATCATAAGGCAAAAGGTGAGAATTGTTGAGGGTGTGGAGAAGTGAAAAGGCCAAAGCTCCCGTTCACCTGAGAATGCTTTAGAGGTCACAGCTGAGGGAAATAGCTTCTTCTGTCCTGAGGCTCTGAAGAGCTACTCTGGGAGCATCATGAGAGGACTGGTTTCTCAGAGCTTCTTTTTCTTCCACTAGATTTGCCTTCTAACCATACTGACTGGCCCCAAGAAAAGCAGGGAAAACTCCAAATACTGGTGAGTTGGGGTTACATTTTATCCCCCCTGAATTGTTGGCTTATTTCCTAGAAAAAAAATGTGTTCTTTTTCTTGGGAAGGGAGAAGGTGGTTAACATTTAGGCAGATGAGTGAAACGTTAGGGGCTTTATTGAAAGAAGATTGTTAAAATACTTTGGCAAAGACAGGGATTTTATAGATCCCATTTAGTAACTTGCACTCTTCAAAAATGCTTATTCTGGCCGAGCCTGTGGTGCACTCGGGAGAGTGCGGCGCTGGGAGCACAGCGGCGCTCCCGCTGCGGGTTAGGATCCTATATAGGGATGACCAGTGCGCTCACAGAGCTCACTGGCTGAGTGCAGTGCGGCCGGTCTCAAAAAGGACAAAAAAAAAAAAAAAAAAAAAGCTTATTCCAGACCCCATCTATTCACTCTCACTTTCTCTGTAGTCAGTTTTCTTCCATTTTCTCCTCTAAATCTTCACCACCCTCTACTGCCCAGCACAAGCCCCAAGTCCATGATGCTTTTTGCCTTCTTCAGCCGATCCTCTACTCTTCTGTCTCTGTCTATAATGAATCCTCAAGGTCACTGTCCTGAATAACTGCTTGAGGTTTTCAAATCGATTCACAAATCATTTCTCCAGGGAAACCATAGTGTGTGAGGGCCTGGAATGTGTTTTTTGCAGCAGCTATGATCTTCACAGGTTTTAACTCAAAGCCAAGCACATAGTAATCTCCAAAAGAACTTCATAGGCAGAACTATGTACTCTGAAAATAATTAGGTCAACTTCTTGAATATTCAGACTCTCCAGGCTCACCAATGGTGCTCCTCAAATAGAGAAAATTGATGGTGGCTGCTGTACATTAATTTACTGCTTGTTTGTAGGTACCAGTTACATTTAGGGATGTGGCTGTGATCTTTACGGAGGCAGAATGGAAGAAACTGAGCTCTGAGCAGAGGAACCTATACAGAGAAGTAATGCTGGAGAATTACAGGAATCTGCTCTCATTGGGTGAGGTTGTGTTCTTTCCTTTCCTTCATTAATTCAGTAGAGATATATTGACCACCTACTGTAAGATTTGGGATGAATCCCAATCTCACATAGAACGGGAAGACTCGCCTCGAAGAGACCACAAGACCACGAGCAATGCAAACAGCAAGAGGTTTATTATTTCCAACACGTTGGGTTCTCACCGCCAAGCTGGGGTGAGACCCCGTTAGGCTTTTTTGCTGTCTTTTTATACATTTTTCTGGGGCAACTTTTCTGGCAGCCAGGAGATAAAGTAATAAGCAGTGTTTATTGGCTAACTTAAGTGACCTTAAAGCTCATTGGTTGGCACCCATCCATTTCTAGGTGATTTCCCTTCTGACTTCTTTACTGGTAAACACTCGCGAA